TATCTTTGTGCATTAATTTTTCTATTGTCTTTTTCTTTTCTATTTCATTTAGTTCTGCTCTAGTTTCTATTATTCCCTTCCTTCTGCTGACTTTGGTCTTTGTTCTTTGTCTAGATCCTTATGTTGAAATGTTAGGTTACTTAGAATTTCTCTTTTTTCTTAAGATAGGCCTGTAATGATATAAATTTCCCCCTTTTCACCACTTTGGCTATATCCCTAAAGTTTTGATATGTCATACTGTTATTCTCATTTGTCTATGTGTCTTTTGATCTCTCCTTTTATTTCTTCTTTGACCCAATCATTGTTTAGTAGCATGTTGTTTAATCTCCTCATATGCATAGCTTTTTCCACTTTCCTTTTGTAGTTGATTTCCAATTCCAATGCATACTGGTCAGAGAATATGCTTGATGAGATTTCAATCTTAAATTTGTTGAGGCTAGCCTGGCCAAGTGTGGTTCCGTGGTTGAGCATCAACCTGGAGATTAGAATTCACAATCCAGGGCACATACCTGGATTGCTGTCTTGGTTGCCACCTGGGGGCATGCAGGAGGCAGCTGATCAATGATTATCTCTCATCATTGATGTTTCTATCTCTCTCTCCTTATTCCTTCCTCTCTGAAATCAACAAAAATATATATATTTTTAAAAATTCATTGAGGCTAGTTTTGTGTCCCATCATATGGTCTACTCTTGAGAATGTTCCATGTGCAATAGAGAATAGTATATAGTCGGGTGTTCTGGGATGAAATACTCTGCAAATGAGTTTATGCCCATTTAGTCTAAGTGTGGTGTAAGACCAACACTTTCTTTTTGATTTTCTGTTTGGATGATCTATCCATAGCTATCAATAGGATATTTAGGCCCCCTACAGTAATCATGTTTTTGTCAGTTTCTCCCTTAAGTTCTGTTAGTAGTTGCTTTAGATATTTTGGTACTCCCTTACTGGGTGCGTACTTATGGATGTGTTCTATCTTCTTGATGTATGGTCCCCTTTATCATTATAAAATGTCCATCTTTGTCTGGTTACTTTTTTATTTTGATATCTACTTGTCTTATATAAGTATGGCTACACCTGCTATCACTTTCTACCTTTGCACTCTGAGCCTATCTTTATCTTTGTAGCTTAGATGTATCTCTTGAAGGCAGCATATGGTTGGGTTTTGTTTTTTGATCCAATTGCCACTCTGTGCCTTTTTATTGATGAATTCAGAGCATTTACATTGAGGGTGATTATTGATGTATGAGTATTTCCTGGAGCCATTTAAACCTTTTGCTTTCTGGTAGCTCTGTGTCTCTATTATTTTTTTCCCTTGGGCTTCTGTCTGTTATTTTAGTTTTCTCTAATTTTTCCTGGTTTTTCTTTATGTTAGATTTTTGTTGTTGTTGTTGTAACCATTGGGTTTATGTAATAGAAAGTTTCATATATGCAGCAGTCATTTTGCTTCTGGTTGCATCTTATCTCTATTGCCCTGTGCAAATTCAGACCTTTCCCCCCCTCCTTTTATATTTTTGTCACATATTATCTTTCTATGCTGTGAGTGCATTTCCAAATTGCAGTAGCTATGTCTTTTCTTTTTTTAAAATGTTTTTACCTCTTTTAATCTTTACACTACATTGAAGGGTATAATATTCTACTCTATTCTACAAGATTGCAATTTCCTGTTTCTGTCTGTCCATGAGTCATTTTACGCATGTCTGCTTGTTTCAGGTAACCTTCAGTATTTCCTGTAATGCAGGACTTGTGGTGATGAATTCCCTTAGCGCCTGTGTATGGAAAAGTCTTTATTTCTTCTTCATATCTAAAGGACAACTTGGTTGGATATATTATTCTTGCCTGGTAATTTCTCTCTTTCAATAGTTTGAATATTTTATTTCACTCTCTCCTAGCTTGTAGGGTTTCTGCTGAAAAATCCTATACTTTAATGAGATTTCCTTTGTAGTTTATTATCTTCTTTGGCCTCCATGAGAATTATTTGTCATTAATTTTTGACAGTTTTAATATATGCCCCAGAGAAGGCCTTTTTGGATTGAGATACTTAGGTGTTCTGTTAGCTTCTTGGATTCGAGGATCCATCTTCCCATAGGTTTGGGAAGTTCCCTTTGACTATCTGTTTGAACAGGCTCTCTGTTCTCTTCTCCCTCTCTTCTCCTTCTGCCATACCCACTATTCTTATATTGCTCTTTCTGATGGAGTCCAATAGTTCTCTAGAGTTCTTCCATTTTTATTTTTTACTCTCAAATCTCTTTCTTCTTCCATCTGTGCCATTTCTAGATTTCTATCTCCAAAATCACTACTGTTCCCTCCATCTAGTCAGCTCTTTTTCCTAAGCTCACTAGTTCACTCTTCATCTCTTTTATTTAGCTCTTCAGCTCCTAAATTTCTATTTGGTTCTTTTTAAAAATTTCAATCTCTTTGGCTTGTGGATTTTATTTCTGAGTTCATTAAACTGCCTGAGTTTTCTTGTATCTCATTGAGGGTTTTTTTTCAGAATTGCAATCTAGAATTCTCTGTCACTTAAGTCACACATTTCCCTGTCTTTATTTTCTGGAGATTCTTCATATCCTTTCCGAGCTGCCTTGCTACCTTGGTTATTCGTGGTATTTGATGGATTGTTTCTCTGCCGAGGCATTTATGGGAATGGAATCTGCCTTTTTACAGAGTGTTTAGCGCATCTCTGTCAGCAGGTTGATAGGAAGAGGTCTTTCTTTTGGTTTCCAGTAGGTGGCCCTGAGGCATGTTTTTATTTCATCTTGAACAGCTCTGGCTTCTCAGCTCTCTGCAGGGCAGTGGAAAGTGCCCTGTATTCCCTGGGGAGGTGGGTGTCCCCTCACCAGGTCACCTGGGTCTCCGGGCATCACCCTCAGGGGTAAATGTGGTGGGCAACGGTGCTCCACGCTGGTGGAATCCCGCACTGCATCCGGCAACTGCATGCTGCTGGCCGTGCTGCACTAGCTAAGCCTCTGCGGGACTCAGCTGCAATGGGCTGGGACGGGCTGGGCTGGGAGAGGCCAATTCATGCATTTATGGCTTTGTTCTCCTCCCACTAATAGCAGCTGCCACAGCTCTAATGCCAGACTTCTGTATTTCTACTCGCCACTGGGATTAGCCACAGCGTGTGCCTGCTGCGCGGGGAGGAATGTTTCTGCTTCTCCAGTTCTCAGGGCTGCAGATCCTGTGCTCTGTAACCCGCACTTGCTGCTAGAGCTTCTGCTGGAGGCAGGTGTGAGCTTTGGGAGGGTGAGGGAAGGCAGGCTCTGGGGGAGGGAGGGGGGCTCTATGGCTTTGTTTAGTGCCTGGTAATGGCAGCTGCTGATCCACAGCTGCTGCAACTGTCTTGTCTCTGTCCATTACTGGGTTCAGCTGTCTATGTGCTGGCCACTCAGGCAGGAATGTTGACTCTACCCCCTACTCCTCAGGACTGCAGAGTGTGCCCACCGTAACCGATTGCTCCAGCTCCTGATTCCCGCAGTGAGCTCCAGGCTGCGTCTGTGACCCCTATCTTTCTTTGTTCCTCCCCCCTCCCTCTTCCCTTGGCTCTGACTCACCCACCGTCAGATGCTTCAATGTGTGGATCTCTCAGACGCGCTTGTGTGTTAAGCAGGGGATCCTCTGTTGAATTTCAGCTGTTCAACTCCTAGCTTCAAGGGGAGAGGTCAGAAGGACCTCTCTCAATGCCATGCTGCTGACATCACCTTCCACACCCCCCTTTATATATTAATATTAACCCATGGCCATATTTGTTGCAAATATTTTTCAAGTTATTTCCTGTTAACTTTGAAGTCATTAAATCTATAGATTTCCCCCTTTTTGTTTTATTCATTGCTTCAAAATTTAGAAAGGTATTTCTCATAAAAACATTTGACACATGTTCTTGAATTTTCTTCCAAATTTTATGATTTGATTTTCTAATATTAATGCTTTAATTCATATGAACTGCTACATCTATCAAATAATTAATTTTCCCAGCATTATATGCAGAATAATTATTTGGTTCCTCACTGATAATTGATAAGAACTTTATCTAGCTATACTTCTAGTTAAGATACCAGCTTTCTAGCAGGACCTGGCTGCCCTCCCTTGTGTAATCTTGCAAATACTTCTATGACTTTGGACTTAATTGTGTAACTTGCTTTGATTAATGTCCTTGTGACTAGAAGTGAACTTCTGCCAGTCCTGATCTAGCCTCAGTATATTGTGGGTTCCTGCTTGCCTTTGTGAGCCTGTGAAGAGTTGCTTTCTCCTACAACCTGGGCCCTAGTAGAAGCACACACGGAGTGGTGCTGTCCCAGCTGCTCCGCACAGGTGCAGTGCAGTGTCAGCAGCGGACCCAGCCAGGGCTGAATGAAGCAGAGCTGCCCCACTGCACTCAGCTTAGATCAGCTGACCTCCCAGTCACCTTATAGACGTGTAAGAAATAAATTCTTATGGTTGACTGCCACGGAGATGTTAGCATTATTGGAAGAATTCTGGGGAACAGTGAAAGGAGTATTACAAACAATAGAAAAAAGAACAAAGGAGAAAAAAGGCATAGGCATTATAGAAACCGACACGGAGAGGGGAGATAGCCAGATATAAAATAGTTACTTGGGATTTTTAAAAAAAGGAATAAGGATCCAGTGGTTAAAAACAACAAGAAACCTTAACTCTTAAAGTCAAACAAGTACTTGCAATGACAAACTCTCATGGCAGAAATTCATGTGAATGTTTTTCACTCAGACTTCAAGCTGGATTTAAACACAGGCTGCTCACCCCAAGAAGTAAACAGAAAAAAGGAAAAAAAAAAGAAAAAAGATTTTAAAAAATTTACCCTCACCTCCCAAATAAACACTTCACTGAAAAATCTATATTAAGTTTGAGTTTTCCTAAATATTCGTTTTAAATATTTTCTTCATTTATTTAATTACACACACACACACACACACACACACACACACAACAGACTTACACTCCAATATTCTGCACAAAGCAGAAAACCCAGGTATTCGTGTTAATCTCTCACCTTCTGTTGAAATCAACTTGGATGGAATGATCAATTACAAGGTCAGCAGGACAGATGGGGTTGATTTTCTCTGGATCTCCTCCTAACTTTTTCACAGCGTCACGCATTGCAGCGAAGTCTACCACGGCTGGCACACCCCTAAGAAAAGAAGGCATTAAGCAGAAGAGAAATCTGTCAAGCATGTGTCATTGAGTTTTTTAATTTTTGTCTCCACTGACAAAAAATTGGCAATGAAACTCTCATCAGTGGAGCTAACGATGACTTAGAGAAGTGAAAGTTTCTGAACACATTTCCTTGAGCAGAAATCACACAAGCAGTAAGTGCCATGACTGAGTCGTATCTCTATGTGCAATTTTATCACTGCATTAAAGTTAACAACCAACATGGTCTAAATAGAGAAACTCTGGGAAAGCTGGTGCTTAAAAACTCTGGAACTGTTACTACCATGACTGTTTCCCATTCACATGGTGGGTTGACAAAGACCTAGAGAAAACATATGAACACAGATTCAACTTCAGACCAAACTTAAAGGAATGAAAATAATTCAGAAAAATAGGTTATACATCAAATTTACAAGTGAATCCTTCCTTTTTATTATATTAGAGTATAAAATTTGGGTATTTTCCATAGAAAAATAAAATTGGGCCTCCAGAAGGAGTAAATTAATATCATTTAAAAATAGAAAGGTAGTGAGTGCTAGCTCAAAAGAGAGGCCGATGGGGAGCAAAGATTTCTGGGAACAGCAGGATGTGAACTGGGGCTTAACAGCAATAGGTCAGGCCTTGCGAACTCCTTATCACCCCTCAAGGGACTGCACATCAGTGTTCAACTGCACGTCAGTGTCCAAGTACAGTTGTTTGAAACTTGTCTCCCTGAGTGGC